TTTCTTGGATATATAATCACAATCATTAACTGAACAAGATCAAAACTAACTTTAAGAACAACACATAACCTTCTTCAACACCTTAATCCTAAGCCAATTAATAATATTTTATTTTCCACGATAAACATTAACAAACAAAGTATTTTATGAAAACATGCTAACATATAGGCTTATTCCTGAACAGTTATTTAACTTATATGTTCCCCCTTTTCTGGTTATATTGGACGGCCTACATATATAGCATTTATTCCTTTCAGTTCATGATATAATCTGACAATTTCTCAGGCACTCGTCTAGTCCGTTGGGGTCTGTCCTTTTTTGGTCCGTCTGATGAATCCATTTTGAGGTTCAGATCATGAGGTTCGGAGTCAGGACAATAGCTATTTTTGTTCAGATCTATCTGTTCGTGTTCGGTTTCTGCATCACCTGTTTCACGGGTGTTGAATCGTTTGACGTGAGTAGTGTTCCGCATGTATCTTGCCCCAGTGGGTGATTCTACAGTCACTTGGTTTCCAGTTTTGCTAACGACCTGGTGCAGGACTGGGTTGAATGGAGTCGTGAATTTATCTACCTTTTCTTGTTGCACAAGCACTGTGTCTCCTACATTCACATTTGAGTATTGTGCCCCCCGACGCTCATCTGCATATCTTTTTGCTTTTGCTTTTTGTTCTGCATCCCTGTCACATACTTGTTGATCTTTACATGCTTATGAAAGGTTGGGTAGCTTCCCCCGAATCTTCCTATTAAAGAGCAGTTCAGCTGGGCTTTTTCCAGTCATGGGGTGTTCAATACCTCGATACACAGTGACATATTTCCTCAGCTCTTTTTTCCAATCAAGTCCCTCAGCCTGTGCAATCCGGATTCTTTTCATTAGCGATGAGTTCTGGCATTCCACCTCCCCATTAGCCTGAGCCCATTTGGGAATGGTTTTGACATGTCTGATGCCGTTACTCTTGCAGAACACATTGAATTGTTCAGATTGATCTGACCGACATGTGATAGGCAGGCCGTGTCTACTAAATATAGACTCCAAGCTGTCTATGATTTTGTCTGATGTTGTCGACAACAGAACATCATATTCGTAGTAATAGCGAAGTATGGAGTGACCAGTTGGGAGTGAGCCTAACAGGTCTATGGCCACATCCTGCGAGGGTCCATCTGGTAGTGGTGTAGGTCGTAAATTCTGTCGGACCAATTCCTTTCTCAGACAAAAGGATTCCCATGAATATCAGCTTGCTCATGTTGAACTGGCACTTTTCAGGGTTCAATGTCAATCCCCATTCGCTCAGTCTTTTAATAACTGCATGTAGACGTTGGTCGTGCATTTCTTAGTCACTGGCATGAACAATGATGTCATCTGAGATATTTTCTACGCCTTCGATTCCTGCTAAGGCATTGGCAACCTCGTGCTGATACTGTTCGCTGGCAGAGGATACCCCAAAAATCAGTCTTTTATAGCGATACACACCATTATGCACCGTGAACGTCATGATATCTCTCGATTCAGGCCTGAGCTCCAGCTGATGGTAACCCCATTTTAAATCCAGCTTGCTGAATATAATTGAGCCATTGATGCCTTGGAGAATCTCATCCACGGTAGGGATAGGGTAACGCTCCCTCACTATGGCACGGTTAGCCTGCCTCATATCCAGACACAATTTTATGTCTGAGTTGGACTTAGGCACTATGACTACAGGATTCACCCATGGTGTGGGACCACTGACCGGTTCAATGATTTCCATTTCCATTAGCTCCTTTATTTTCCGCTCTACTGCTCTCCTGAGATTAAAAGGGATGCGTCTAAGCAGCTGCGCTACTGGTCTCACACTTGGGTCTATGTGTAGAGTAACTTGGTTGGTCTTTAGCTTTCCAACCCCATTGAACACTTCCGGATACTTTTGTTGCAGAACTTGCTTTAATTCAATCACGGCAGAGATGTCAGCGCCTATTTTTAAAACTCCTAGCTTGATGGCTGTTTCTCACGATTCTTTTTGGGGGTTTTCGTGTGGCACATTTTTGAAAAATTGTCTTTTCCATTACATTTGTGACACACTTGACCTCGTGCGGGACATGTTTGGTCTCTGCTTAAATGGTCTTTGTGTCCATACCTGTAGCATTTCCTGTCCACTTTTTCATCTTTTCTCTCTGCATGCTTGTTTCTGGTGTATATTTTTACACTTCCACTCCCGTGCTCTCTCACTTGTTTACTGAAGATTCCAACACATCAACTTCTTTACAGGTAACAGCCCCCTCTAGTGACCAACACTGGAAACAACCCCAGTAATTCCAATACATAGCAGGGGTGTTTCAAAAATGAAAAAAGGATGTAATGAGTTCGATGTAATGAAAAAATAGGGTGTATTATGAAAGGATTACATGAAATGACGCGGAGCTTAGACACCGTGCGTCTTAACGCCGAATTACCAAACCGGAAGCACACTCTATAATATATATAATAATGAGAAATAACCAAATTGCCTATCACAGCTATGCTGATGACACCCAGATTTACTTAGCCTTATCGCCAAATGACTACAGCCCCATTGACTCCCTCTGCCAATGCCTTAATGAAATTAACAGTTGGATGTGCCAGAACTTTCTTCAGTTAAACAAGGAAAAAACTGAAGTCAGTGCATTTGGAAACAAAGATGAAGTTCTCAATGTGAATGCATACCTTGACTCTAGGGGTCTAACAACTAAAAATCAAGTCAGGAATCTTGGTGTGATTTTATGTAAAGCACTTTGAATTACCATTGTGTATGAAATGTGCTATATAAATAAACTTGCCTTGCCTTGCCTATAAGCGCTGCGGAGTTCAAACGAGTAGCGCGGTTTCGTTATCCTTTCAGTTTCGTTTGCCGTTTGATGTTTCTCATATTATCATTTATAGGCTACCTGTATTTGGCACTGAACACTTGGGATCACCTAAAATTAATATGAAAGAGTATTTTGCATTTCCCCACCTGTGCCAGTGTCATGGAACATCGCTATGTTCCCTTTGATGATTTAACTGGAAAATAAGCTTTTTGCATGCTTCTATAATGCCATATATTTTACACAATTTACATAATGAACAAAGATAGTTTCTTCTCTACACATGATGATATATGTCAATGCAGAATTACTGTACAGAAAAAGTAATTTTGCAAGTGGTTACTTTTAATATAGTATCTCACAAATGTGTTTATTCAGGATGGAGAAATGCACAAGAAATGCAACTTGATTGAGAAAACTTTGTAATATAACACATGTAGATAAACCCAGGACAGCATCATTTGTTTTGCAAACTCTCTTAACGCTGACTGAAGGGGAAAAAAACAAATAACACCATAATGCAAATTATCCAAATAAATACAACTTAAGATTCTCAGAAAACCACACAACGTATCTTTTTTTAAGAGTATTTGTTTACACATTGTTTTTTGAAGGTTGAAGGAAGTATCTGTTGTTTGTTGTATTCTAGTTGTTTTTGCAAGGCAACTTCTACTGACATCCATGTGGTTAGAAACATCACATGTGAAGAAACAAGCCATTCACACTTTAAATCTATTATGTCCATGTGTGCGTACGTACACAGTTGGGGGCAGTATGTGCACAGAGGGCTTTTAAACAGGTCTTCCATTCACATAGAGTTAGGAGGCTTGGTGGAGGAAACTTATACCGTTTTTACCACACACACTCTCAAAGTCAAATCAGATGCCCACTATCATTATCATCATTACCACTAAAAGTATTTAAATAAGTAATTTTCATTACGTTCAATAAAGTATTCGGAAGAGATTGAAATCGACATTGGATTATGTGCATGTAAAGAATGCATTGCGTACCCAAGCCATCTGAAGTTACCCGCTGTAACAGATTGCTTTGACTTTCAGTCTTTACTGCTGGCATTATCACCTTTAGCTTTTGCAAAATCAATCAATCAATAAAAATAAAAATTCCATCTATTTGAACTTGTTCACTTTTAAATACAATCATTGGGTGTACAAATCCTTTGACCTCAGTTTATATAATATTGTCTAGTTGAATCTCATTTAGCATACAGTTAAATTGAAATTGGTTAAATTATTATGGTAAGTTAAATTAATGGAAAAATAAACATTTTGACTTCCTGATCGTATCATATCATATAATTGAATGTGTACCATGTAATATTTTATCATTTGTCAATGCAACTGTTGTTGTTGCTCAACAAAGCTTTACAGAAATCAGTTTGCACGTCTCAAAATTCAGTTTCAGGAATCAGTAGTTTTTAATTCGCATGGCAGCC